ACTTTTTGCGGTTTCAATTTCCTATTATTTACAAAATCAATTAAAACTAATATTGTAATATGAAATAAAAAAAAAACGTGAAGGACTTTTAGTTGAAAGTGAAAATCAAAGTCGAGATTTTCCAGCGGAAAAACCTTACAATCCACTTCTCTTCAATTATTTCAATTTCCTTGAGTTTATTGTTGTTTTTCGAAAGGTATGTTGGCTATGTTTTTTTTGAACCTTAGGAATTAGAAGTAAAAACGGCTTCCATGACTCGTGAAAATTATAAAATGATAAAATCTGAATTTCGGTATCCCTTTTTTAATTATTTACTTTAATTACAAAAGGCTATAAAATACAATTACTAACAATCTATTGGATGTTCCCTTTAGAATAATTAAAAACCACTTTGGAAAAAAAATGCAGAAATTTCATCCGATTTTCAGTAGGAACACTTAAGTCTAACAACACAAACAAGAGGGCAAAATAAATTCATTTGCATCCTATTTTGGTGTTAAAGTTTTTAAAAAATATTTGAAAATGGCTATCAACTAAAAAACGTGCAATCTGCTGAAAAAAATTTCCGCAGAGCTGAATATTCACTTAGCAAACACAAGCGAGCAAAAGGTAAAGAATAGCATTTGGAGAAAGGTAAAAAAGAGAAATAAGGAACTCAAAGACATTAATAAGCCTCGCAAACAACGAGCGACATAATCTTGAAAACAAATTGCTAAAACTTGACGAAAATGCTCAATTTGATTTGCGAGTTAGGTTTGAAAAAAATGGGCTCACTGGTTGGCTTTTGTATGTATGAAAAAACTATTCCAAAAGTTTTGATTTTTTCAAAAATATGCTCGGTATGCAGAAAGTAGTCAGATGTCACTACAAAAAAAATGTTTTTGAATCAGAAAAAACCAGAAAAAGAAAACTCACCTATAATGTGGCAACTTAATCAAAAAAGCACGATGAAGGCCAACAAAACATATTCCTTAAATCCGGAAGACAATTTGCTTTAAAAAATTGTGGACTTCTAGCACTACGCAAAGGCTGATTAATTTCAAACAAATGCCATATTTATGAACTGAGCTTCAAGTTGAAGCTAGAACGCAGAGGTTGAAGTTGAAACTAAAAAGCAGAGGTGAAGCGAACTCCACTTGCGATAGAACACTTAAATGGCTAATAAACTAGTCGAAAAAGCTAGACAAAAACTACTGCGTCGAGTTTTTAAATTGTAAATGAATGAACATCAATCAAAGTCTTTACAGGTCCGTCTCGAGAAATTCAATTGGCAAAAAAATGGATATACGCAATCTGTAAAGATATACATGGATATACGGGAAAATACTCATTTACTTTTAAGCGAGACATAAGCGAAAAAAAAATAGTGCCGACGCAATCAGCCGACAAAAGAATTCATCAATTCTGACAAAACGCATTTGTCGGAAAAATAGTTAACAGACAATTGGATACAGAGATCAAGTTGCACTTAGCAAAAAAACTATCGAAAAAGGAAGTTTATTTTTCCAAATTTTTCTAATCCCACGCTATGTTAAGTACAATTGAACTATTTCTTGTCTAGTTACGCAATAAAAAACTAAGTACCTTGCTGCATTGAAAATTGTGATAAATTTATGTTGTATTTTTTGCCAATTTACGCGATAATACCATTGGAAACAAAATTGGAAATAATCACTACGCTCGCAAATGGCTCCTTTTACCTTTAATTCAGTAAATGATTAATCACCCGATAACTTTATTTCAAACTATTTTAAAGTTGGCAGCGTTTCGATTAAGCTGAGCCAGCTAGACAAATCCAAGTGAAAAAAGAGCAAAAACCAGTTGAAATAAAGCAAGAAAACGGTTAAAAAAAACTTTTGCTATGTTTGCTATAAAAGAGCCACCAAATGAGCACTTTTATCTGCAAAGTAGTTGGCAAAAAAGGTGCTTCGTATTATTAATTAGACTCCGCTTGTTTGAGTAAACCCCATAAATTTGTATACAATTTTGAAACCAAAACTATATCTGACTGTTTTCCGCCGTTTGTTCTGGGAGAGCGTTATTTCATTTCCATATCGTAAGTTTTATTCAAGCCAGTGCAAAAAGAACAAAGCTTCTCCAGAACAATAATTTAGGTTTTTCTTTCATAACGAAAATAAATTGCTGTGCAAAATTGCTGATAACAATAGCTTAAAAAACGCTACTTTTTCGAGAACCAGAAGATATTGGAGTTTCATCTGACTGAACTCACTAACTCATGGAGTAACACTTTATCAGTCAACTTTTTTGAAAGAAACGACAATCAAGAGATAGACCGACAAACATTTTTATCGAACATAGCCAACAGACAGTTAAAAAAGAATCATAGAAAGCAAGAAATTAATTTACTTTCTTTTAAACTTAATCAAGCCCTTTGAATTTCGAGAGCAATTTGCGATTGACACTTCTGTTTAAAATAGCTCAATTTGAGAAAACTGGATCAAAATGTATAGTTTTCATTCCACTGTGTAATCTGAATATTATGATCCACTAACCAAATTAGAAGTCGATCACGTTTTTTCGAGACTTTTGACATTTTTGCTGTTGGAAAGTGGAGTGTGCCTTCCTTTTAACAAAAGAAATGAATTGAACTGAGAAATAATTCAAAAGTCTAACCGCTGAAAAAAAGTTGATTTTTATATTATCAGTTGTAACTCATAACTCCAAATAGATTTCTAGAGGCAGGTTGTATGATTATTGAGTTATAACAGATTTATTTCAAAATGTTGGAAAACGGGACAATTTTACTAAATCATCCATAGCTCGAAGACAAAGTATTTGTCTTTCATACTCACAACTCTCGTTAGAGTAAAATTTATTTGATTTAGCTAAACGTTTTAATGAAGAGCATAGCCAACAAAATTTGAAATGGTTCAATGAAAACAATTAAACAAAAAAAAACTTTGAAAAATTTCAACTTCAGAATTTCAACGAAAAAAAATAGTTGCCCTGAAAGCTCTCGTAGTTTCTAGAACAAATTACGATTGGCACTTTTCCGATAAAATTTACCCAATTTGAGAAACCTGGATCGATAGGTAAATTTTTATTTCGCTGGGAAATCTGAAATTAATTTCCATTTTCCATATTAGAAGTCGATCACTTCTTTCGTGACCTTTTAATTTTCGCTGTTCGATAGTGGAATTTGCCTTTCTTTTAACAAAGAAAGTGACCTCAACTTAAAAAGTAATTTAAAGTCAAATTGCGAAAAATTGAAATTGATCCTGAACAAAGTTTACGACGACTGTTCCTGAAAAAAACTAATAGATAATCGCGACTTGTATAAGAGTCTGAACTACATTCATCCATTCTACATTCTTAAACACTCCATATTAATATTGACTATGAAAATAAATTTCAAACTTCTAATCCCACCTCGGTTACCTATACCTAGTCGGGCTTATTTTTATTATTATTATTTTTTCAGGAACAGTGGTAAAATTTGTTCAGGATCAAATTTACTTTTTCGAGGTTTGACTTTTGATTACTCTAAGTTTCGAAGTTTGACTTTTAAGTTCAGTTCACTTCCTTTGTTAAAAGGAAGGCAAACTTAACTTGCAAACAGCGAAAGTTAGAAGTTCACGAAAGAAGTGTTCTAGTTTCGAACACAAGCACTTCGCATACACAAGCAAAAATATGACCGATAATGCTACTGGCAAAAACTCAATGGGTGAAACTAAGAGTCTACAAAATTCATAAGTGAGGCACGCTATTTATCAGTCTACATAATTGCTAAGTGACGCAAGCCAATTATGACGCATTAGCAGTACCAGTCAATTTGAAAAAAGAAAGAAACTTACCAACTAACATGCCTCAATTTATAGAGCGGACCATTTTAACTAGGATACGAAAAATTTCATTGAAAACATCTGACCCTGCCAAGGTTCGAACCCTCTTATTTTGCTGCTGGTCTCCTTCCCTACCTCTACGCCACAGATCCATGATTCCTTAAAGCTAAAGTGCTATTTGTAATATAATAGTCTGCGTTAATTTCCTTAGGATTGGCTGTACTTAATCGCTGGTTATTGATCTTATGCATATACTGCAATAAAAAGAGCACTTTCAAAAAGAGCAAAAATATTTGCGACTTAGGTTGGTAAAAAAAAGAGTTCGGAATATCATACTAGCTTTGCTTGTATAAATAAAATAAGCAATACGCAATTTTCAATGAGGTGTTATGAATGAACATCCTCTTAAGCCTGGTCAAATAAGTTTATAGAGGATTGAATTAAATCATGTCGGAATATAACAAAGCTTGCCGAGCAAAATTAGTATGGCTTATCAGCTCTGCCGAAACCCTAGAATGGCCATATTCAGCAAAATTCGGAGCATTTTTGGAAAGTTTTGGCCAAAATCTGAGTACATTACTGGTGAAAAGAAATATAAAATGATTTGTCGATGATTTCTTTATTGTATTAGTTTAGAATCATAAATGTACATTTTAAAATTGTTTACAAATCAAAAAGAACTTTTATAAGGAATTCAGTTATTTGAAATAAGGTATTGGAAAAATTGGATAATGAATAAGAATTAAATATATCGAGTGGCAAATGGCAAAATAATGAATTAAAACGCCGAGAAATTTTTGGTTGAAAAGCGTTTCAAAATTCGTGAACCAAATTTTACATCGATGAGACTTAAACATTTGAAACGCAGGAAGATACTCATGAAACGTAGGACTACTTGTATTACAATTGAAATATAACAGTATTGTGTAAATGAGACTGAAGAGAGATTAGCGAAAATTAAGCAGACAGTTTGGCTAGCAGAACGTGTGAAACTAATGATTGTGAAGAATTTTTGTTGCGATTGCATCTCTATACGAGCGCGTACAGTATATCAAAAAAAAACCAATGAAAATGATCATGTGCAAAAAAATTTATACTATTTCATAAATTTTGACTTCATGTAATGATATAATCATGTTCAAAAACCGTCGCATCCGCTTTGTCTGCTTAAGTGTCGCAGAAAAATTAGTATTGTAATCTGTTTTTTGTTTCAATTTACACTTGAGTAAGGAATTAAAGCTGTCTGTTGTGTTGTTCCTGAGAAGTAGGTGGAAGTAAGGAAGAATAAGAGGCCAGTTTGCGCACTAGAGACACCGCCTCCTCCCACACTTCCATCTGTCGGTCACGTGGTCTGTCACCCGGAACAGACACAAGGTGGTCCAGAGGCTTCGAAAGGTCAATGTCTAAAATTACAAAATCAATGAAAACATTTTTGTCCATCAGCAGTGAAAAACAACATATCCAAATTACAGTTGGAAAAGCGTAAATGAACTAAGAGAAACCGAAAAAGATTCTGACTGTTTATAATTTTTATTCCAAACAAATTATATCCAACAGCCAGCCAATTATCAATCAGTTACACAAAGGCGAAGATACACTTCGCATACACAAGCAAAAAAAATGACCGATAACGCTACTGGGAAAAACTGAATGAGCAAAACTTTGAGTCTACGAAATTTCTAAAGTGACGCACGCCAAATATGAGTCTACATAATTGCTAAGTGACGCACGCCAATTATGAGTCTACATAATTGCTAACTGACGCAAGCCAATTATGACCCATTTGCAGCGCCAGTCAATTTGAAGAAAAAAAATTTACCAACCAACAAGCCTCAATTTATAGAGCGGGCGCATTTTAACTAGTATACGAAAAAGTTCATTAGAACATCCGACCCTGCCCAGGTTCGAACTCTCTTATTTTATTGCGGGTCTCCTTCCCTACCTCTACGCTACAGATTCATGATACCTTTAAGCTTAATTGTTATTTGTAAAACAAATAATCTGTGTTAAAATCCTTAGCATTGGCTGTACTTAATAGCTGGTTATTGATCAAAATGAACACTTTCAAAATCACACAAGCTTTGCTTGTGTACAAAATGAACACTAATAATTGCGACTTAGGTTGAAAAAAAGAGAGTTTATAGTATCACACAAGCTTTGCTTGTGTAAAAACAGAAACACTGGTTATTTATGCAACTTTCGCAGTTCAAAAAATTATACTTTTGAAAATGATCCTCTTAGAATTTCAAGAATTGTTACGTTAGGCACTATTTTCTTAGCTGGATCAATTAAATTATTTTCTTAAATTTTCTAATCTGTAACAAAGTTATAAAATTATTACATTTTTGAAACTAAACACAGATAGCCGGTTACTGGGCAAGTATCACAGAATATTCCGTTAGAAAGATTTTTTTCCATGTTTCTGCTTGATGTGATAAAGGAATCTGGCGTAAAAAAAATAATTTAGGCATATTAGAGTCATAGAAATATAGGAAAATTGACAAAAAATTTTGAAAAAAAATGACTAGAAACACTAAAAAAAATTAAAATTAGTTTTACTTGCTTAAAGTTAAGTTTTAAGGTCTTAAATTAGGCATAATTCAGCTGTGGTAGGCCTGCTCGCTTGCTTTATTTGCTCGAACTTAGACGAAAATCAAAAATCGGTTTTTCTCGACACGGAAATTTCTTAAATGTGGTTCGAGTCACGAGTGAAAGGTACTTTAATATGATATATCTCTCAACCCAGTCCGATGATTACTTGTGGTACCTGATTTTGCGCGAAAACAAAAAAACTAAAACGCAACAAATACAAAGTTCCTCCACATTTTCAATGGGTGGAGAAATACGTTTTCCGTAACCTTTTCACGTTTACTGATCATTAGTGAAGTTTGCCTTCATTTAATAAAAAAAGAGTGAATTCAACTTTTAAAAAATCGCGAAAAATCACATTTGAGCTATAAATCGCGAAATGAGCTATATTATCACATTTGAGCTATAAATCGTTTCATTCTTTTACACTTAATAACCTTTCAGTAGCATCCCTCTAGCTTAAATTAAACAAAGAAGAGGGCACTGAAAACAAAATTTTTGATAGTAACAAAAAGAAAGCATACTTTCATTATCAAGAACTTTTTTAAAAAAAGGACTTGAACCCAAGTTGATTTATACAATTTTACATTTAAAATGTTGTGCTTCATCAGACTGAAAGTGAAAGAATTACAATTCAGAGAATCAGGGTAGAGAAAAAATGACTCACTACATGGAAGTAGTCTGTTGGGCATGTCGTTCAACACTACGAACCCAGTCGTGTCCCTCAGCCCAGAAGGGGTGTACTCTGGTGGTCTCTGAGAGGGAGGGGGAGGAATGAAGTACTTCTTCGCTGGCTCCAACATCTTCTTCACCAATGCATCCAACTCTGCAGGGGATCTATGCTCTACTTTCACTCCACCCCCACCTAAACATGATTTAATTCCCACTATTTTTAGGCTGCAACTTTTTAGATCTGGCACCTAGAAAAAATGTGATTTTCTATGAACGCTGATTTTTCTGTTATAATATTTTCCGATTCCCCAACGATCGAAAGATCAAACAAACAGGAACCAGTTTTTGGGGCGGGGAAAAAGATAGGAAACTTAAATCCAAAAAGTTGAAGAGTTGAAAAAATTGTTGCTTGAAAAATATAAACACTTACAGGCAGACCTTCAACAATTGTTGTTACGAGTCAGAGAAACCATGCGGATTTACCAAAAAAATAATCAACAATTTAAAAGCTTGTAATTGTGTTTATAACTGGGAACAATTTAAAAACCCAATTTAAAAACAGTTCAAAACCAGGCCTTGCAAGAAGCTAAAAATGGACATAGCCAACTGACATTTGGAAAAAAGTATTGAACGCAAGGAAACTGAAAAAAAAATGTTTTTTTTTTTGAAAAACCTTCAATTTTCGAAGAAAATAGTGTATTTAACACTCATGAATTATTTACGTATTTGTTAAACGAGAGGTTGAATGAACGATTTCAAAACAAGTTAAATAAAAACACCAAGACACCAAAAAAATCACCAAGACCTTCATAAGAGTACTCACAAGATTCATTACTCTTAAAATGAAAGACATTCTTTGAAAAACGTGAAGTAAATTTGTAACTACTATGTTACTTTAGCCAGGGTATTCTGATGCACTTGAATCTTTTTGGGAATCTCACAAAAAATTGCAAAACTCAAAAACAATTTTAAAAAATCATTTATTTAAGACCGTAATCGAAAATTCTTTTAAATTTTTTGTAAAAAAAATCTGAATACGAGCAAGAAATGACGATCTAATGTTGCACCTCTCATAAAATGAAACTTCGTGGTACTTTCTTGTTGATAACTTAAAGTACTTACTGGAATATTCCAGATCAAAAACGAACAAAAATTGTTCCTCTGATGTAGGGGGCTCAATGATGCTCAGATTTCAATTTTTTGTTTAACAACTGAGTCTGTCAAAAAATGTGCTCAAAACACGTTGCTTCCACAAAATGAATGAACACAGTTTTTGATCACAAGGTTTCATAGAAAAGTTTTTGGCTGCATTACTTTTTCTACAGTAAAAATTAGAAACAATATAATTTATACACTTTCCTTCATTGATGCTGCCGCTGTTTTGCACAATAAAAATATTCTTTCTTCTTTTTCTAAAGCCTTACAAGTAATAAATGAAAATATGTTAACAAATTTTCCTTCTGAAAAGAAAACAAATTTCATCCACTTGAAAAATTTTCAACAACAGTTCAAGTGGCCGAGCGGGCCTACTATTCGGAACGAGCTTTTTGACTGGGACCCGAAAACTGGTGGAACCAGTACCGAAAAAAGCAAAATCGCAATATAACAGAAGCGTTTGCTTGTGTAATTAAGACTCAATTACATCTTCTTCAGATTTCTACATCTAGATAAGAACGCTCCATCAAAATCATGCCTTGCAACAAGCTAAAAATGAACATAGCAAACTGACATTTGGAAAAGAGTATTGAACGTAAGGAAACTGAAAAAAAAAACTGACGCGTTTTTTTGAAAAACCTTCAATTTTCGAAGAAAAAATAGATTATTTCAAAGGGCATTGAATTTGTAGAACAATTATGGTCGACACTTTTTTTGATTAAATTAACCCAATTTGAGAAAACTGGATCAATAGGTAAAATTTTTCTGGGAAACTTCGCTGTAAAATCTGATAATTTCCTTCTGATAAGTTCTTTTTTCGAAATTAGAAGTCGATCACGTTTTCGTGCCCTTTACACTTTTGCTGTTCAATGGTGGAGGTTCGCCTTCCTTTTAACAAAAGAAATTAAAGTAAAAATAAATCATAAGTCAAACTGCGAAAAATCAAAATTGAGCGTGAACAAATTTTAAGACTTTTTCCTGAAAAAAACAAACAAAAAATCACTAAGACCTATGTAAGAGTACTTACTACGTTCATTACTCTTAAGCAGGCTGATTTAACCCTTTAGTGCAGTATACTCGACATGTCTGCTCTCGCATTTGTTAATTTGAGCCGTATCAACAATGCACCACTAACCACGACTAGGAGACGAAGAAGCTGTGCTTGTATCTTCATTACACCTGATCACCACTGCAGACGGAGATGGAATGGAAGACGACGAAGTAGTCACAGAATCCTCTTCCGAATCAACCTTGGCGGCAATTGTGTCGACTCCTTCTTTACTCGCTTCTCCTCCCTTCACAACTTCAGCAAGCTGTCGTTGCTCCTCTTTTAAGTCTTCTAGATTGTCATCAATGGGCTGATCTGTGAAAATCTTGCTCACCATTGCTTCAACCTGAATAAATAAAAGGCTACAATTCGTAACAAGCGACAATACGTAGCAAGCGACAATTCGTAACAAGCGACAATTCGTAACAAGCGACAATTCGTAACAAGCGACAATTCGTAACAAGCGACAATTCGTAACAAGCGACAATTCGTAACAAGGCATTGGCTGGCAAGTAGAATACGCTTGCTCCGCTTCGCTTATATCCGCCACAAGAGGAATACTGTGCGTGAATCAGTGTTCCCCGCATAATCTACTGTTACGCATTGTCGCTTGTTATGAGTTTTCGCCTGTTACGAATTATCGACTGACGGAAACAACATACGCTCAGAAAAAAGTGGTCGATGCCGTAAATTGTCACAATTACATGTTAATCGTTTAGATGTATGATCCCGCCATTTTTGTCCAATTTAAAAACTCGTGCACTAGAAACATACGTAGAGTACTTCAACGGGATGAAAACAAGAAAAATAAAACATTTCTTAGATAAAGTTGAAACTTCTAGGCAGGTCACCAAATACTGTTGCTACCTATGAGAAAAAGCACATGAGTTTCCCAAATTCTTACACAGAGGCGAAGTTGTACTTCCCATACACGAGCAAAAAAATGACGGATAACGCTTCTGGGAAAAACTGAATGAGTAAAACTTTGAGTCTACATTATTTCTTAATAGTCGCACGCCAAATATGAGTCTGCATAAATGCTAAGTGACGCAAGCCGTACCATTATGACGCATTAGCAGTACCAGTCAATTTGAAAAAAAAACCAACTAACACGCCTCAATTTATACAGCGGACGCATTTTAATAAGTATACAAAAAAGCTCATTAAAAACATCCGACCCTGTCCAGGTTCCAACCCTCTTATTTTGTGGCGGGTCTCCTTCCTACCTTTACGCAACAAATCCATGATACCTTGAAGCTTAAGTGCTACTAGAGGCCCAGCAAAAACTGGAGGTATCTGTTTGATGTTTTTAGAACTTGTTGTACTGATGTGGGACAAGTAGGTAATTAAAAAAAAAACTAAGCATTGGGCTTCACCCAAAACCCTGGTAGTTCCTCTGTTAAAAAATGAGTGATAATATTGGTAATTTTCCGAGAAACATGATTCTTGTTCAACTTTAATGCGTAGCAGTTTATGCACGGAGGGTTCTTACACCCTGTTGCCTTGATCAAACCTTTGATATCAGATTGAACTTTTTCGAGAAAACAAAAGCTTAAAAAACCTCGCTCAACCTTTTCTCTCTTAAGTGAACCCAAAACTTAAGGTTTGGTATGGTAGTTTTCAAGACAATTAGAAAACTGCTAAAAACAGTGTTTTGACTTTCCGAGGGTTATAAATATTTGTTTGAAAGAATTTTGGGATGGTAGTTTTCGAGAAAAATTGAAAAGTTTCAAAAAACTGTCAAGAAATCAAAACTTGACTTTTCTGAGGTTCATAACTTTTTGTGTGCAAAAGTTTGAGCATAAACACTATTGTAGTGGAACTAATCAGAAACTAGAGACCAGCTAAAGCTAGTGATTACTGTTTCATAACTTCTGAAATTTTTGTATTGATGCGGAAGGACAAGGGTAATTTCAAAAACAGACCTATAGCAAAGAAAAATAAATACCAATTTAATGGCTTCAAAATCTGTTTTATTTCATCAATTACTTCAACTTTCTAAAAAATCGAATTGATTAAAAAGGCATTGTTAGGTTGAAAAATGCTTTAAACGTTGCTCATTAGATTTGGTTCGGCAGTTTTCGAGAAGTCAAAAAGTTTCAAAAAATGGTAAAAAAAATCGAAAATTTGACTTTTCAGGTCATAACTTTTTGTGTAAAAAATTTAAGCGTAATCATTTATTCAGCTCCTCAGATTTGGGAGGCAAGTTTTCGAGAAAAGTTGAAAAATTTCCAAAAAAAAATCGGTCAGTAAATCTGAGGGTCAAAACCTATGATGGGAAAAAATTTGAGCATAACAATTAAAGCAGGGGAGCTCGTCACAACCCTTCTGTTCGATTAAAACTAAAATCTCCGATTTGGGAGGGTAGTTTCCTAGAAAAGTCTAAAAGTTTCAAAAAATTTGGGTCAAAAATTCCCCCCACACACTTTTTCGAAGGCCGCAGAAATTGGGGTAAGGTAAAAAAGATACTGGTGAGTATGCAGGCTCGCATGGGAGTGGCCGAACTTCCCATTCGTACCACTCTTTTGAAAATCGGCAGAGTAGTTTTCGAGAAAAACGAAAATTTTCCGAAGTGTAAAAAAAGCAGATCCCATACATTATCTTAATACCTGTTTTTATCAAACAGGAACTTGTAATATGATAGTATGTGTTAATATCCTTAGCATTGGCTGTACTTAAGAGCTCGTTATTGATCAAAATGACCACTTTCAAAATGAACACATTTTGTCGCAGCAATATTTGCGTCGCACAATAATTGCGACTTAGGTTGGAAAAAAAGAGTGTTCATACTATAACACAAGCTTTGCTTGTGTAAAAACCTCATGGAAAATTTTGGGCTATTAGAATTTTTGCTGTTGCGTTTTCAATGTCGCCCAGTGTATCTGCCGGTTTTGTATCTGTGACTTTTAAAAAAAATCACCATCTATAGACAAAATTTCACGTAAGATTATCTCTTAAGGTATAAATCATCTTTTTATTCACTTAATTGAGGAAACTTTCATTATGTCAGAACAAACAGAAACTTGAGCTGAGTCAAAAATATGAGTTAAAATGTACAAGGTTGTTGTCGGCCATCAACACCATATTTCTTAAGTTCAATTACGAAGGGCTTTGAATGGGGTTAGCAAACCGATAACTATTTCATTGCAAAAAGAATTGCTGTTTAAGCCATGTTTCAAACCACTTGGAATTCTTGCTAAAAATGATCCCAGAAGCAATATGCTGCACTTGAAAAATTCGCCTGTTAAATTAACTAGTCAATTGTGAAATTTGCGCAGCATGAAACAAATGTGGTCTCTTTTCATCAACACACTGTCTTACTCTTCTATAAAAAGAATCCAATAAACTATATCTTCCCAAAATATGTTATGATAAGTGTTATTTAACTAGGTGCCAACATTTCAGCTTATCGGAATCTTTGACTCAAAGCATGGCTCTTTTGCACTTCACCACCAGTGATTTACATCAATTTTGGGCCGATACAAGAGTTTTACACGGTAAGGCAGGAGCATCACGTGTTTGAAACTAGTTAGCTAGTACAGGCTCAAATCTTTTTACTTTCAGAGAATTATACGAAAGAATGGGGGTAGTATTTGAAGTAAAAAAAAATTGGGGACGGTGGGTACTAAGCTGTTTTGTGTACCTTTTTGGCCATTTTGTGCTGATTTGTTTGCATATGCTGTCTCAGATGTCTCTTGTGGATCCAGGGTCCCTCTTCAGGACACAGACTACATGCATACATTCTGTTCCTCCTCTTATCCTTCTCCCGTTTGATCTGATCCTGAGCTTTGTGATCTTTACTCTCTAAGTGAATTTGATATGTGGTCTGCATTGAGAACTGTTTGTCACAGAGAGCGCAGTAAGGCAGAGGCGAGTCCGATCCACTGAGGGTGGAATGAAACTGGGTCGTCATTCCTGACCTCGATGATCCAGGAGGTGTAACCCGACTATCCCCGCCAGACGAAGCCCCTTTCGGAGACGGGGCACTGCGCACTAAACTACTCGAACTAGTGATAGCATTACTGGGTTTGGAGGAGATTTTCTCTCGTTTCACCGTCCGCCCTGCATGTTCTGCAGCTGAGACAGTCGAGGCACCACCTCTGCCCCTTGTCTTTTTAGGCCCTCGTTTGACCTTTGTTTCGACTGTTGGGAGAACTTTGTTCACCTTTCCCCCACGCCCCCTTCCTCTCTTGAAATACAAATCAAACACTGAAGCAAAAAAAAATCGAGGTCACTTTATAAGAATTTATATTTCTTATAACTTAACTAGCCAGCTAAATTTTACGGAAGAGGGAACGAGTGACCAATAACTAGCCCATTCGTATTGAATCAACCACCTTTTCAACCAGTGAACCTTGCCGTAAAATTTACGTGTAAGTCTCTGCCAACCTGTTGAACTATCACACACATTAAAAATTATCCTATAAAAGAGCAGCCAGTTCTAAAAGTAGCACAGAGTATAAAACAATTGACATGCAGTTGGAACCACACAATGCATGCCGCAATAAAAATTTAATGGAGAATAACCAGGAGACGAGATTGGACCAGTGTTGCTTCGACGCAAACCGGAGTTGCAAGGAAAAAAACCATCTATATGTGCGACTGTCCAAACCCTTTATCAGATTTGTTTTAATTTTTTTTCAGAAACTATTTTATCGATGGAAGAACAAGCCAGACGATAAAGCACAGTAGCCAGGGTTAGATTAAGTACATGAATTTAACTTTTGCTCCAAAGCAACTTATTGGCGCTTTTGTGAACCAGAAGCAGTATGGTTATGACGGAAACGCATTGAATAAGATAAAACATGTTAGATAACCACATGAAGACCCAAAAATATTCTGGTTACAAAGCGAAAGCTTAAAAAACGAACTATTTGCTGTGAAGAAAACATAGCCAACAGACAGTTGGAAACGAGTCAATACACAGAAAAAAATACCGCTTCTTTTTTGAAAGTCTCATTTTTCGAATTTCGAGGAAAAAACAAATGGCCTTAAGACTCTTTGATTTTCTAGAACAATTTAAGATTGACACTTTTTATGATTTCTATAACGAGTTTTGACCGGCGCTTTTTTAACAACATTAACCCAATTTGAGAAATTGGATCAACAGGTAAAGTTTTTATTCCGCTGCAAATCTCAATTTAAACTCCACTTTCGAAACTAGAACTCGTTCACGTTCTTTCGCGCCATTTCCACGTTCGTATTTGGAGAGCGCTATTTACATCGCTTTCAGTAGATGAATTTCAATTGAACTCAAGTGTATTATGCTTAAATGCATTAATATTTTAAGCCTTTTTCCTGGAAAAACAAACAACAAAAACCAGCAGGACCTATATAAGAGTCTTCACTACGTTCATTACTCTTAAAAACGATGTTTCAAATTTCGAGGGAAAAAAAGCATATTTAAACGAAGAAAAGTACCCCAGGTTAAAAGTCTTACCAGGTTAAAAGTCCAATTAATTTCAAAAATACTTTATGATAAACTTTTTTTTTTGCATAGAACGAGATTTGCCCATTCAATTGGTGTACTGACTATAGCCTAGCGGCAGGACCCCGCATATAAGTATTTAAATTCATGATTTGGACTTACAGTAGTTCCAGAACGAGTAGGTCTGCCTTTGGGTGCTGCTTTAGTCGTAGATGCAACTGTCGTGTTTGCAACAGAAACTGCTGCTCTGCATGATTTCAAGTGTCTAAGATACTCTTTGCCTTCCAAGAAAGATTCACAGCATAGTTTACAACGAATTGTCTGAAACAAAGATAATGGTCAGTTTCGTTTCCGAAATCATCCAGGATACTAGGGCTCATTTTGTTCTTTGAAATTTTTCAAAAATTATTGTCTCATCTAGGAAACCCTAACACCGCTTGTTTAGATCATGAAAACGACCTATTCAAGATGCAAATTTTATTGTCTGAAATCTAATTAGATCTACAATTTTGACCTATAACTTTAACATTGTTCTTTTCTGCTTACCACCGATGATTTCTTTTTGCTATCGATAGAAGATGGTGAGACTTGGGCAGATTCGGAGCTGTTTGAGGAAGGTTTAATCGACAGAGAATGAGGTTTGTAAATAACACTGGAAATGAAATCTTCGTCAGTGAAAACTTTGTCTTTATGCGAAGATTCAAGATGATCTCTAATAGCTGCCAGGGACACACTCGGGTGATTGCAGAAGGAACAGACATATGTACCTACAGTTGGTGACTGGCGCTCGGACGATCTTGGGTCCGATGACATATTGGCTGAAAAGTATAAACTTTAGGTTACTGTTATTATTATTATTATTATTATTATTATTATTATGGATTCAGCTATTAGAGCTTGGGTGTTTCCACCCTTAAGTTTCAGTGTCATGCAAGTTTCCATGTCGAAATATCGTTGTATCTATAGTTTGTCATGAAGTAATTCCAGAAGTGCTTCAGTAGTCGTGGTTTGAGTCCCTGATGGTTGGAGTAGTCGATTGAATTTGGTAAGATGTTCACAAGTTTGCAGGTTCTGAGCCAAAACTCCTGTTGGTAGATAGATTTCTTTATTTTCGGCAGTTCGAAAAAAGGTTTCTCTGATAACCGGGTGGCTCTGTCGAATTCCTTTAAACAAAAATACTCTGTGGCATCAATTTTATAGTAACCATTCAACATCTTGGACATAAATATGTGACATTCGACCAGAATGGCCAAAATGCAGTCTCTGCAGAATTCAGGATTTTAGCAGTGAACCTTCCGGATTGGCGATTTAGAACGGATAAGGACGTTATTTGAATGATTGGCCAAACGGTGAAGGCTAGAAGATTCTGGAATTCTAAATTTTAAATTTTCGAAGTGATGACGTAACATTTCTGAGAAATGTTAAAACGGCCATTTTGGCTAAAATAGCAGAAAGAAACAGAACAACTTTATCTGCGATTACGAACAGTACGAAAATCGAGACTAAAAAACAACAACGAACTACCGAACAGCAGAGGACGTTCCGAGTTGCAACTATTGTGCTGTTACAATAGTTGCAAGGCCGTTGCGAACAACGGTGAAGGGTAAAAACCAGCCCTCCGAGTTAGCGTGAACCTGAGGTTAAGGAGCTTGATTCGCCGGATTCAAGAATCCGGAAGGGTCTCGGGACGGGAACTTTTATGAACTTGTATTGAATTTTAGCATCCTGTCATGTCCTGACTTGAATTTAACTGATATTTTGATTAGTTTTGACAAGGATGAGGTGCTAGGAGTTGGGGGAAAGGGTTGATCCATCTTCGATGGAGATGATGATTTTTATCTACTGAACAAAAACAATAGTAATATGATAAGTAGTAGCCCTGTTTTTAGGAGTGACCTCGTGGTCTGGCGATACAGAGACCCAGCCATGAGCTCACTAATTTTGCATGTAATTCAGTTAATTTGAGCGTTCTGGTCGAAGCCGGAGAACAGTAACGTTTTTGTCAGCCTGATGTAAGAAAGACCACCGAAAAGTACTGGCTTGGTAGAGACGGTGAAAAACATGCAAAGCTCTGTTTAGACGCTAGCCAGTCGTCTTAAGACTTAGTTTTGTTATCCGTCGATATGTATCTTCCGGGCGAATGTTACATGTATGTTTTTATGGCGCTCCTGGGTGTTATTCTTTCATAACATCATGACCGGCGGAACCGTTAACGAGCACTCCGCGCCGAGCGGATGCTCACATTAACGCCCTTAATAGGCCTAAACAGCCGGGGCGGAAGGGTAGTTCGGAACGCGGAAGCCTTCCGGATTACCGTGAATAGTTTTTTAACCTAGTTAAGACCGAAAATTCACGAACCAGGAAGGGTGGGGGGAATCATGAACCCCTCATCCCCTGAGTGGTTTGTGACCAAAAACACTTAAAGATATAAGCAAAACCAAACAAAAAGTAGTATAGTACCCAAGAAAAACAAAAAAAAAACATAAAAAATAACCGGAAAAACCAAAAACAGTAAAAAAAATAAAAAAAAATCAGTAGAAATCATCCCCCCAGTCAAGATGTGATTCAACCCCCCCGTTTGTTGTTGATAGATATATTGTTGTTACAGGCATTTATATCAGTCAGGATCGTTACGATCAATTTTGTGGCCCGTTTGTGAGGCTTGTACTGTAGGGTTATTTGAGCATTTAAGCACGTTAATGATAAATTGCGCTCAATCCGGAAGGGTCAGCTGATTTGCGCTCAATTCGGAAGGGTCTTGGGTGAAGACCGATCCGGCAGGCAGTTCAAGGAGCAACAAGAAGGGGCTCAACGACAACAACAATCGACTGTTGGGTATCGTTAACAAGTTTTGTATCCCTTTTGGTACAAAAAGTAAGATAGTAATCTGTGGGGGGCTCGACAGTGCTGCACTGTAGTGACCCTTCACCGAACTGCGAATATCCGAGTTAAGCACCTTAATTTGGATAATAAACAAACCCGGAGGGGTATAGTATTACTAATATTATTATTCATATAGCCTATATTAATAGTCACATATCGTTTTTCAGTGAAAAACAACGAAAAGAGACCGGTTTTTAGGGTCAAAATAGCGATATTTTGATCCCCCCACAAGTCGCGATTTTTGAGATATCGATATTTTTTGAAACGGAAAAAAGCGCTAAGTTAGTGTGTTACATCGTAACTGCACTACTGTAATAAGTAGAACCGGTTAACTTTAGTTCGGAAGTGGTTGGAACTAGTTTGGTACCAAAAACCAAATTTTCCCAATTTTTGATAGTAAGAAACACTAAAAATTTAGAAAATTTTTTGAAATTTTTGAGGTAGGACAGTAAAAATAGTTGTTCGGACAACGTCCACTAGTGAATCTACAAGTCTTAAAATCCGCTACACGAAAGCCTTCCGGGTTGCAGAGAAACCGAACATAACGTGTTTGATTTGGTGGATTCATCAATCCGGAGGGGTCCAGGTAGCATAGTTTTTCGCAAAATTTTTCTACAATAGCGTTTTAGATCGGGTCTTTTGCATTGAACTAGAAGAGTATAGGCCTTCTGAGCTCGGATCAATAATTTTTAGGTCGAAAGGACCAGATTTGCGGAAAAAGTTAGGCGGAACCTATAAGAGAGAAAATTTTTTGAGTTCGGAAAAAAGACGTTTTGGTTAATAACTTTGGAACTACTGATCATATCGAGTTGATCTTGGTACCAATAGATCAGAAATTAATTGAGCTTACTAATAGGATTAGAAATTTTTCGGAAAAGCGAGCGAGAAAATTTTTTGAGATTGTTTTTAGCAAATTACACAAATCCGGAGGGGTACACCCTTCACGTTTTATAAATTTTTCTGAAAAACCCTTATACCCCTACCAAAAGTTGATAGCGATTGAACTAAGTAACTTAGGACAGTTCTAGACAAAAAGGGAAGGCTGAAGGCACAAGACAACCATAATAGAGTCGAAGTTAGGCAAGTGATAAGACCCTTCACCGTTAGTGTGAATTGTCAAATAAGTGCCTTAACTTCAATCCGGAGGGGTCTAGGAAAGGACCCTATACCCTTCCCAGTTAATTCAAACAGCATAAAAGCAACGCAGAACGTATCCGGAGGGGTATAAGCTAAAATTAAGAAAACTACAAAAAGCTACTTTGACAGAGCTAAGGGCTCCCAATCCGGAGGGGTCGAAATTTTTCAAAGTCAGAGGGGTCCGAATCCGGAGGGGTCTACTTTCCACAAAACCGGAGGGGTCCGAATCCGGAGGGGTCTTATAGTTGCTAATTCCGAGGGGTCCCAATCCGGAGGGGTCTATATTCTGACAGTCCGGAAGGGTCCTATTTGTGCAAATCCGGAGGGGTATCATTTTATTAAGGACTTAGGTAAACGAAAGAAAGACTAAAAAGCGAGAGGTATTAGGTTATTAATACACAGGCTAGGTATCAGTGACTGCACTGGTAACTTGCCTCTCAAAAAGAACCAGACTAATACAAAACAGGTCCGAACTCGGATATTCGCGACACTAAGTCTAAATTAAAAAGAGCGTGACTCATTGGTGTGGATTGAAACATAATACGTTTTTGGGAAAAGTAACTGCCCTGAGGATTTTAGTAGGTCTAGCTCGGGCAGTCCGAAGGCAGATAGGTAACACAGTACTCGGTGGGTGCAATAGACGCCCACTTGAGAAAATTACTGCCTTCAAAGTTTTGTCTGTTTGGTGCAGCACCAAGCAGGGAAAGCTTTTTCTTTAAAAGACAGGTTCGACTATTGTACTGCGACCGACTAAGAGTACAAGACACATACGTTTTTTTATATATACATTCATATTGTGTCAATATATATATTTTTTTGTTTTTGATTTTAAATCAACCTAAACTGTGCTTGATTGGGTGGTGACTACACTATCTTTTAAATTGACTGATAACATCATATTGTGCTAGTTTCCAGATCTTTGGACCAATAATCGGCTAGTGTGAATAAATTTTATACAAACTGTACTCTGACAACATACAGGGATTCGTGGTCACTATTTAATAGAATCTGGTGAAATTTATTGTGTTGTGTCATTATTATTGTTAATAAAACTATAAGGTCTCTAGCAATTGAGTCAAGAGTAGGCATAGGAAAGTGACAAATAAAGAATGAGTTTAGACAAGTCAAGGATACCAAAACGAGGTAATAGCTCTAGGAAATTCATACCTGAAAAGCAAAGAAAAACGATGACCGATCCTTTTGTGGATTGGATCAAGCGATCCCGGTCTGACAAAAGGGGGACGGTTTCAGGCAGAATGGTTGCAACGAGAAGTCAGAAGACCTCAGAAGAGCGAAGAGAACTATTAGAAGTGGAGGTCAATACGGACCATACCATGAACGACAACCAGGGAGTAAATGGATTGGAAGGAAGAGGCAGAAGGCTGGCGAGTGAATCAACCCCGGTAGAACAAGGCCATGATTTTGCCACTTCCACCGGGACATTGGATCGAGAGGAGATGTCGGAACTGTCCGACATCTCAACTGAAGTAACGGCGACTAGAAGATCTCCGACAGACAACACTATGATGGCAGGCGGAACGGGGAAACAAACAACGTCATCATCATTCTCAGAAAGAATGAAGAACACCTTCGGAAACATCTTTCCATTCAGCATGGGAGGAGGAGCAGGAAGTGACGGTGAGTCCCAGGAGGAAGAGGATGAAGAGGAGCAAGGGGACTTTGGATCTCAAGTCAGTCTCAATAGTTCGATCCAGGAGAGTGAGGCACACGTCGGAAGAGAGACTGGAACCATGGACAAATTTGGTGTAGTGACAACGATAAGTAAGGAGGCAAACAC